GAGCAGGGCCTCTGCTGCAGCTCTCAAGGGGCAGGAGGGCACGCGGGGAGACAGACATGGGCTTCAGGTATCCTGGTCCCAGATTATGCACTCGCAGGAGTTTGCAGGCACCTGGCACAATGTTGCCGCCTTCCGTGTTTCCCAGCCATGTTTTCGGCTTTCTTTAGAGCAAGAATAATGCGGCATTTTCCTGTATGACACCAGAAGCCTGCTGTGAAGTCCAGCCCCACCCTCTTCCATGTGTGATGAACATACGGAGAAGGCAGCCACAGGGAGAAAAGGACCTTGTGTAAAGGACAAAGTTCCATCCCAAAGTGAACTGAAGAAGCCCCTGCAATGCCTCATGTGGACAAGCCCAAAGCGCAAGACAGAACAGTTTATGTGGAGACAAGCACCGCTGTTAATTGCAGTAAAAGTAAATAAAAGGAGCACCTGGAGGGTGCATGCCCCTGCCAGCCTCACCCCACCTTAAGTGCCCTGAATGATAAGGAAGGGTGTAGTGTTACTGGCCCTATTCATTTGCCACTTCATTGCCCAGAGCTCCAGGAGATACTGGACTCCAAAGTCCCAAGCTGTGGCTCCCAGGTCCAGACTGAGCTGCACCACTGGCTGCTTTTTGAGAGGAGGGCGAAACGGGACCATCCTGGCCGTTCCAACATGAAGGGTAGGTATGGCTGGCCACCTCCAGGGACAGGTGGACCCCGGAGTCCTCTCTCCCCGCTGCAGCCAGCTGGCCCCCTGCCTTTTGCTGTGGGGCAGACCCTGGCGATGGCGGGAGCAGATGCGGCCGTGGCCAGCTGGCTCCCTTGCACTTGCCCTGCCAAGCAGCGAGTGGGAACAACGAGGAGGTGGGGGGAGCACAAGCAGCTGGCGACAGTGGCCCTGGGAAGATACTCTGCCCAAGGGTGGGGGCCTGCTGGGGGCTTTGCCAAGCACTCGCACTGAAACCTGGGACTCCACTTTCGCCCCAGCAGCCCAACAGGACCAGGCCCTCCAACACCTGCTGCCCACAGGCTCAGCCTGCAGTCAGGTGAAGCCCAAGCATCTTCCAGGCAGGGCCAAGCTGCCCTGAGGCTGCGAACCCGCATGGAAACCCCAGGGGTTCTGCAAAGGAAAGGCGCATGGAGCCAAGAAATGGGAAGCCCATCTGCCTGGCTCTTCCCCTGCCCTGAATCATGGAAAATTCAGTGGGGCCACAAAGCCTCAGCCTTTCTGCATTATGTGAATCCAAACATGCTGGGGACAGATGCTGGAGATGAAGAAAGAACGAGGAATCAAATGGAGGGGCTTTGCAATGATGTTCTGGTTAAAAGGGGGAAAAGTTTGAGAGTGGGGGAGGCGAGCAGAACAGCCAGCCTTTAATTAAGCACTCTGGAATTCATTCCCAGCTGGTTAACATTGCTGTCCCATATTGGAATGGTTTAAGAGTAATATGCTTTTCTGCAATGATTCTTCTTTTCTTTCATCATAAGCTCTCTCTCTCTCTCTCTCTCTCTCTCTCTCTCTCTCTCTCTCTCTCTCACACACACACACACACACACACACACACACACACACACACCATTCTTTCTGCCCCGGGGTGTGGGGGAGATCCGCACCCAAACTCATCATGATATCTGGTTTGCATCCCTTTTGCAAGATCATTTACAAAAGAAGCTCCTCTGACAAAAGGAATCCAGGGGAAGAGCATTACATGGGGCCTGTAATGAAAGCATCCGCCCCCCGCAACATCATCCTGTCAGATCTGTTCAGAGGTAAGCGGCATTCATTTCATTTCAGTAAGAAACACATCACCCCCCCCCCCCAAAAGAAAAGACACAGAGAAATTCGGTGCACGGCCATTCTCGCCATGGCAGGGAAGACTGAGGCGGCAAACACAGCGCGCCTGCAGTGTTCAGTCACCACCCGGTACAGTGGCACCTCGGCTCACGAACGCCTCAGTTCACGACCAAATCAGGTTGTAAACAAAAATTTCATAAATACTTCGACTCAGGTCGCGAACTCCGCATTGGGTGGCGACCGCAATCGTGGCCATCTCCCCCCAGCTCAGCGGGGAAATGGCTGGGATCGTGCTGGGGGTTGGGGGG